GACGCCTCGGACCGAATAACAGCCGCTTCGCTTCAAAGACGTGGATGTGCGGTGTAATTCTGACCATGATGACAGCTCTAAAACACACTTGTTAAGGGTTTTGGAGCTGCCTGTCAGAGGCTTAAAAGCTGTTATTGTTAAATACATGAACACACACACACAACTCTGAGTCGCCACAAGTTGTAAAGTGCAGGTCTTTGTTCAGGATGGAGGGTCTGTTTGTTCTGTCATTAGGCCTCTGCAGCACTAAAGCTTTCATCCTGTCACGTTCGGATTCACACAGGAAGAGAAAATTAGACCTTTACGTCTTCCATTTCCACCTGGATCTTTAAACCGAAGAGGAGAGGAGGAGGAGGTTCGCACTCGCACCGGAAAAGTAAATGTGTGATTTCTGTGTCGCAGGGAGCCACTAACGACGGACCGGCAGCCGCAGAGTCCACAGGTGCTAAAAGTCTGGGGCGACCCCTGAACAGAGGGCAGGACCACCCGAACAACAGTCCTCTCCAGCGTCCCTCAGAGGAGAGGACGATGAGCAGGGAGCAAGATGGCTTCCTGTTGCCAGACTGACCGTCGGAGCAGATTTACAGCCCCTCCACAGACCCGACCCCATTATCTCTCCTTAAAGATATAACCCCCAAATAAATGTTTTGTAAATTTGTTTTATACCTCATTTTTAGTTTTTTTTTTTTTTTTATTGTATTTTTGTATGCGAATTGTTTTTTTTTTTCTATTGATTAGCTACGGAACAATGAAATCAGATTTTAAAATGTATGAGTTTCTGTTCATGAAGAGCTTTAAAAACAAACTTGTTTGAGCCAAAGTTCTGTTGTGAGACTGAGCACCAGCTTCCTTTATGGTCAGCTGGTCACGGTGGCTTTTAAACTCAGCGTTTCATCAGGTGAAAACACAGACTGAAGGAATAGTTTCTAGACTTTTTTGGGAAAGTTTGTGTCTACATATGAATCTTATTGTTTCCCAGCTCCGGCTTCATATTTAGAGACACTGATCTGCTCATCGGACTCTCAGCAGCAACGTGAATAAAATCAAACTACGACACCGACTGAAGAAAAACTGACATTTACCAGACGTTAAGAAGCTGGTGTCATCACTGACTGAAGTTGTTTCTGTAATCAGATTACTGTAATCCGTTTCCCTCAGCCCTGTGTGCCACAGTCAGATCACAGCAACTCTGCACTACTAATCTGTATTTCACACACGATGAAATGACATTACTTTTTTTTTTTTTTTTTTACTACTACTACTTTTCAAATCTTTATCTTTTTATAAGATGTGATATTTATAACAATAAAAATGTGATTTGGTACTTGACAGATGTTTGTGTTTTCAGATGCCTAACCAAACTACCAGCACACAGGAAGCACAGGAGCCAAACTCTGTTCAGCTGTATTTATAGATTTTTCCACACAGCGTCAGTGTAAATCATTTCAAAATAACCGTTTTCTTCTTCTCTGGAAACAAAAGATACAAATAAAACGTGTCAGTTTGAATCTTTCAGAAGCTTCTCTGAGGTTTCTACTGAGGGAGAGATTATGGCAGCCAGGAGATGATCAGAAGGTTCGACCTCAGTCTCTGAAGAAATGAATGACTCGACATATTACTAGGTATGAGTATATCAATGCTAACTGTGCAGCAATTACTGCATTGTGTGTTTTGGTGTAAACTTGTTTCTGTACAAAAACGAAAGACAGCGTCTGAAAAGCATTCGCTTCAAATTCCCAATCTGATCTGTGATGTCACACAACAACGGAAAACACAAACTCATTTCTGTCCACCTCAAAAAAAAAAAAAGGGCTTTTCTGTTCAAAATCAAATTAAAACTCCTCCTTCAGTCCCGCCCTTCCTCGTTCTTCATCCTCGCTCTCATCTGCCGACCTTGCCCAGCCTGTGGTCTGTCTTGGGGTCGGCTATGATGGCCTGAACGGCTACGATGGCCTCGTTGATCTTGGTCTGCAGCTCCCTCAGCTCCTCGATGTGCAGCAGGCGCAGGATCTGAGCCGCTTCGTTCAGAGTCGCGTCTGAGGAGAGAGGGAGATGTTTATTTTACTTTCCCATGGACGATTAAGTTTTATTGGATACATGTGTGTTAACACCACAGCCACTGCTGCCTGAGTGGCTGTCCGCACACTGATCGACCACCTCGCGTCAAAATAACCAAACCAACCCTTCACAATCAATTTGCCTCTTCCTGTAGTTTTTTTTTTTTCATGATGTTACAAAGGCAGCACTCACCTCCAGTGTCGAAACCCAAGATGTGTTTGTCTAGAGCTACTGGAATACCCTGCAGAGGAGAGGAAAATACACACGAGTGAGGCTGCAGCCAAACCAAGAGACGCTTATTATAAACCAGAGGAACATTTTTTCCTTCATTAAATCAACAATCAGTGTTGTGTACAAATAAAAATGCAGATATCTAAACATTAATATGAACATGTAGTATGTACCTCTCTGTTTTGGCTGGCTTTAGTGATGGCTTCAGGAGAGAGTCTCTCCTGGATCAGAATACGAATGGCCTGGCAGGTCCACAAGAAAACACAGACAAATTAACACGACAAACTTCTTCTAAATTCATATTATAACCCACAGAATAAAAACCCTGTTTGATGGTCAGAATCTTTCCTGCAATTGCCTTTCATTGCATTTACCTTCTGTAATTATGAAGTAGTTTTCTTGCTGCTGTCCCTGTGCAGAACTCACAACCAACTGCATATATTCCAGTTTCACTGCTAATTTGATCTCATATATTTCAGCCTCATTGTTAAATGTTCACTCTCTATTAACTGACTTCTTTATGCAATGTGAGTTTGTTCTGTTGCACTGTAAACTCCTCTCTGTCTCAGACACCACGACTGAAATCTTCAGGCTTTGAACTTTAATGACCTTTGTCATGAAGCTAAGAAATATAATTTAAATTCATCATTTTAATATGTTTAATAGATATTTAAGAGCAAGTGATAAATATTATAAGAGCTCTCTCACCTTGAGCATAACCAGGTAGTCGTCATGCCTCTGTATTTTGAGGATGTTGGACAGAGCCGTCACTCCTGCTTTGAAATCTGGTGAACTACCTGAAAAACAACAAACAAATGATGATTTCACAAACGAATGACGACATCACACACTGAAGGAAAAGAAAGGAAGAACATGAGAGAGCGAGAGAGGAGGAAGGAAAGGCAGAGGAGTGTTTCTGCTTACTGTCAAGGTTGACCAGAGGATCAATTGCTTTGTCACTATTACTGGAGGCCGCCAGCGGCTGACAGATCTTATACTTATCCACTGAGGAGAGACGACAGAACACACACATGATAAAACACACACGTACACGACATGTTCCAACACTATTTCTGTAAGAAAAAACAAAAAAAAAACAGGACGTATGAGCTGGCATCACTAGGACACATTATTCCCTTTATAATGTCTCCATCTACTGGTCTTCATCAGGATTTCAGCACCGTAGTACAGACGCATGTATCACACGTTCATCTAGAGCAGTGGCTTCCAACATTTTTGGCTTGTGGCACAAAATGAAATAATGTCTGATTGCAGCAGATAAGATGTATATATCTGTGAGTTATGGCCTTGTCAAACAACAGGTGATAATTTGATTTCATTTTCTTACCATTGTCTCCATATTCGTAGCGAACAGCCAGGCCCAGTAACCAGTCGACAGCTTCCTGCTTCTCCTGGACCCCGAATGGACAGTTGACATCCTGCAGGTACTGCACAGAGGCAAAGGAAACACAACTCATATATATATATATATTCAAGACAGTGATGACATATCCACAGCAGTGACATTAGGGTTCCCTGGTAGCAGCTTTAAGGTGGTATTCTCTGTTACTGAAAGTCTGCCAACGCAGCAGTGTTTCTGAGACAAGCAGGGTGCTGGTGGTGTCACCTTCTGGTAGGCTTTGGGCCACTCTGAGCTGGGGATGTTCCTCAGGTCTCCCCTGTCCTCTATCTTGTAGTGCCGAATCTTCTGGTCCTCCAGCCACACGATGCAGTTCCTGAACTGTGTCTCATCTGGAGGGACAGATGCACATCTGTGGATTACTGGACACATAAATTCAACATACCGGCAGCCACATAAAGTAATCTGACGTCGTATAATGGAGGCAACTGAATAAATGAATGAATCAGCTGTCTCTGTATGAGAGCAACATGTCAGCTTTAATCTGCTGACTCTCAGTAAAGTCTGCTGAATCATTTAGCTTCTACAGGACGAAAATAGTTTATATTGCATCGGAGGGGGGGGGGTGACATTTTAATTCACTGCTCTATCGGTGGTAAATCGATATTTACAGCCGAGGAATGAGGCTGAAATCCGAGTAAATATATTCAGACTAAAATGCCCTATTGCGTAATGTTACACACCGTTTGCTAAATGGCTAATTTCAAGGTAGAAAAAAGTGCCATTAGAACTCATTAGTTGAAATAAAACATTGAGCACAAGGGGCACACTGTTTATTGAGGGCGTTAGCATCAGCTACGCCGAATAAAAGTGTGGCGTATTAAAAGTCTATATTTACATTTACGTCGTCTTCTAACAAATATACGTTTGGCGGCAAAAACATTTCATAAAACCACTATTTTACTACGACAGTTTCGCACTACGTTGTCTCCTCACAGTTGTGATGCGTGCGGACACGTTAGCCGGCTCCACGTTACACTCACTGAACCCATTCAACAGCTACCGGAAGAGCTTATTTTCTTACCTTTGCAGTCAAATCCATCGGGGTTGTGATAATCTAGAGCTGTCAGTTTTCTCCGAAACATTTCAACGTGTGTTTTGAGTGCAAACGGCTGCTATCTTTGGCTAACAGTTGGCTATCTTAGCTGTTTTTTCTGCTAGCAGTCAGTGTGGCACTGCGCATGCGCCGCCACAACTTCCTGTTTTAACTATCAAAATAAAACCATACTTGGATAAGACGGTACTTGTATTAGTATAGCCTTAATTTGACCTGTTCCAAACAGCAATGTTCTTACATTTTTCTTGTTTATTTGCTATATTTTGCTGTTTTTTTGGCTTCAAATGCCAGATTATACTTCATTTCTTTGAGCTAAATTATTTCAACTACCCCCCAGTTACAACTTAATAAATTACAGTTGTTTCCAAAACTTCAAATGAAAAGCTTCAAAACTTTTGACTCCAAATATGTATGTATGATCTGGACAATCTGATAAAATGATGAGTTTTTCCACAACACAACTGCAGTTCAACGTTCAGACAGTTTAGATTCAGTAAGTACAACCTTCCGTCACACACAGAAAGGAACACAGACTTTGGAAAAAAATGACAACTTTATTACACGTCACATTTTATAAAATGAGGCAAAAACCATCCAAGATGATGCAAAAGAGAAAACAAAAACAGAGTTGGGGGGTTGCTTTAGGTATGCATGTTTGTGTGTGTGTGGGGGCATGTTCAGAATGGCCTCATGCGTGTGCTAAGGGGTGGGGCTCTGTTAGGCGGTGTGATTGCTATGTCCAGGTAGTCTCCGATCTGAAAGCGCTGAGACTGCAATGTCATGGAGTCATCTGCACCCTTTCTGCCGGATACAGTACTGCCGATGTCTTTCAACCTGGGGGGTGGAAGACATGTTTTAATATGCAGTGCAAAAAATTCAACAGCCCTGTTAGCAAGTGGCTTTGCAGTGTGATACCGACCTGTACGCTTTCCCTCTGGGGTCAGGGAAGACTATGGCAAAGCTGAAGTGAGTTCCCTTTTTCCTGGCCTCTGGATATACTTCCTTCACCAGGCTGGTCAGCTCCTTCAGAGTAGCATCCATCCTGAAACACACAGAATCAGTTAAAGGCTCCAGTGCCAACTCCTCTATTCACATCAAACAGTATCTCGTCACGCTGCTTTTGAACTCAAAACATTAGCAAACAGTCATTTGACACATACAACAACAAAGAAAAAGAGTGAAGCATTTGCAACCTCACCATGTGTATATCTGCAGTTCACTGGAGGGGACGTTGCCACGAGCAAACTCATCTGCTCTGTGATGTCGGCCACTGTTGGTGGTGAATACTCGCAGCAGGAGAGGGCATGTCTGTAACATAAAGCATCAAACACATGGGTAGGCTGCTAAAACCAAGAACACCTAGTAACAATGATATAAGATAGAGAAAAAACTACAGTACTGATCTAAAAATATACTGTTGAGAAAGGCTCTGTTCTTAAAGCTGGAGTTTTAGTTTTTTTTAATCAATGTTAGAAATCTCAACAGGATTTTTAACAGGGTTTACTTCCTTCTGGGACTGAACTTCGTCGAGTTGGACGGTGGCTGAGTTTTAAACCTACACTGCCCTCTAGTGGTCACCACCAGTAACTCCACCCTCCTTCATTTTTACTGCCAATACACAGTAGATATTAACACCATTATCATTATTACTATTACTACACGAGTTGGAACTGATTATTAATCACGACAGTAACGACGTAAACAACACCCAAATGCATGCATGTAATTTACTCACAGTTATCAAACTTAAAGATAAAGAGATAAAACACAAACCCAGGACAACTCAGCTGTCGAGGGTAAGTTGTAATATTTATAGAAAATAAATGTTGCTTGAGAATGAATAAATGCCGAATTAATCTAAACACACAGGAGTTTCGTAAAAGATCTTAAGATTACATTTAGGTAGATTACAATTAGGGGAAAACATTTTAGCAGCATTTTACTATTAAAAGTAATTATTAATTATTATTTTGGGTTTCGTTCTTTTTTTTTGAAAGACCGCAGTCTGTCAGTTCACGTGGAAAATGTTTAGTCAAACCTTTTTTTAATCAAAGCTTAAAGCTAAGCAAATAGTTAATTCTTAACATCGTTGGTTAAGAACGAATAGATATTTCTGATTGGCTGGCACGTTAGCACTAGCACACTTCAAAAGGCTACCGTCCAGTTTTTTTAATCTTATTTTTACTTTCACCACAGTATTTACAGCTTACATGTTGCACTAATGCTGATATAACAGTGTTGTAAAGTGTAATTGTCGAGCCCAAACATAAAACCACCGCTCTCCGAACTGTTAGGCAGCACTTGGGGCTAGCATCCATGTTAGCTTCGAGCTAATGAGGTAAACAAGCTAAACCAGGCTCCCACCTTTTCTCTATCAATCGGCTTCTCCGGCTCCTTCTTTATTTCCTCTTGTGTGATCCGCGATTCAAGAGCCATTGTTTTCTATCACTCTTATATTAATGCTCGTACGTCGTGACTTCAACCACCGTGCCTGGATGTTTTATCGTAGCCGCTGCAGGCAGCGAAACACCAACGAGACAGAAAGCGAGACAATTTCCGTTTCCGGTTTCCTTTTCTATGACTTTGTGGCTTTATCGCCCCCTTCTGCTCAGGAGTGTTGTAGCATTTTATTGATAAATATTTGAAACGATTCGTAATTGACTCAGCAATTGATGATTGATTAATGTAGATTATATTAATAATAACAATTAAATCACTTCGCCAATACAGAACTAAGAACTAAAGCTTGTGACTAATGTGATGGAAAACGTTCATAATCCAATGAAATCTATATTCTTTTAATCTTATATTGCTGATATGTGAAGATACATTAGAGTTATGCCCCAAAATGACAAACGTGGTATTTTCTCCCTCTTCCTGCAACAAGGGATCTTCCTAAATTTAGATGCACTGAGGAAAAGTCACCACTAAACAGTCTTAAAGGGTTAATCCCACTGGCACACATCTTATATTTTTCCTCTGCCACAAAATATGATATATATATATTTAATTTACTTCATATGTGCATTAAAAAATAATGACATATTCAATGTTACTGAACATGAAACAAAAAATCTGCAAGTTCCAGAAATCAACCGGAACGTCTTGTAGCACTTTCATACAGTAGAGTGGCTGATCCAGGATCAGTCAGCCAAGTCCACCTACAGAACTGAGACCTGCTATTCAGTCACATGCTGCTCTCCCCCTCACTCATTACAGTGTGTGAGTGTAGATTTCTGGGTAACATATATGTGAGCGTTGTACAGTGTGTGTGTGTATGTGTGTCTGTGTGTGTGTGTGCGTACGTATCCTGACACTGGCCCCCTCTGTTCTCCTGCTGGCTGGCTGATCAGGGATCAGGAGCTACTCAAACAATTGGCTCTATTTTACCTCTCTCTCTTTCTCCCTACTCATTCACTTTTGTGTGACCCCACGTCACCCCACCACCACCACCACCACCACCTCATCAGCATGGATGGCATGGGCCTGCTTGATTTTCTTCTTTTTTTTTTAGGCCTGTTCTGACTGACAGATCAAACAGTGGCTCTTTGAGTCTGGTGTTGACACTGATATCCATTCATTGATATGCATCAAGAATAAGAGTCACTGTTATTTCCCCTAATGACTCCATTAGAATCACTGACGCCCTCTGTCTCTGTCTCAGTCCCATGATGTTTTCTTGCCCTTCCAGATCATTGCTGCTCATGTTGCAGGATCATGTTAAAGCTGTGCTACAGAGGAGAATCCAAACACAAAGCCTGCAATTCATCAGCAGCAGCTCCTGCTTCATGATTCACAAAAAATGATAATTCTGAAAGAAGAGTCCAAATGCGTTTTCTAACTTCCTGGTACGTTGATGGCTTGGCTGCAAATTTTTAAATCCCCACCCCCAATACTGTAGCTCGAACAGAGCGTGAGGAATATGTTGCAGCCACTTCAGAAGTTTTTATTTCAGTTCTGTGAGTATCCACAGTTGTAAACCGAGGAAGTTGGTTTTTGCTCCCACACTTCGACAAACAGTGGGAAAAGCTCATTGGTCACAGACATTAGCGGCACACAGAGCTGCACTGTCCTGCAGGCTCACTGCTGCCAAGGGATGGTTTGGCTCTGAGAAGTCACTTTGACTCTCTACCTGTGTCCAGTTACAGCCACCGAGAGATCACACATACACATGCACACACACACACACATATACACACTGCATTGCAACTTTGTTCTTTCAGTCCTCTGACTTTCACACTGCATAGACACCCTGTGAGAATAGATCGTAACTGTTGAGCGCTGCTTTTTATTTGTACTCCAACATTAAAGCTAATTTGTGTTTATTAACATCCATACTGTTAAATTAAAGGTCTCATATAGTGTAAAGGTCTGTGTCCATGTGTAGTGTGATTATAGATCAGGTCTAGCTTCTATATTAATACTGTGAAAGTATCAAAGCCTCAGTCCACAGAGAAATGCACACAGCCTGTATTCAGAAACTGAGCCTTAAAACCAGCCGTCAGGACTTCTGGAACTTTGTGATGTCACAACAAAACAGTCACCAAGAGAGCCTCAGAGCCTCCTCTCTTCTGATTGGCTCACCGACCTGTTGTTACTAGAGCTCCAGAGAGAAGCCTGAGAGAGGAGATGTAAAACTACACTGAGATGGTTTTTGGTTCTTAAAACCACAAATATATCTTCTTATGGATCAACACTTCAAAATAAAACACACTCCACTTCACCCTCACTCACCTCACAGCCACCTACACCTACAGTGCCTGGAGAGAGAACCTGCTGGATTGCTTTTGGTCTTCACATCTGGATTTCCATCTGGAAAAACATGGGAGCTGCTCTGGAAATGTCACGTCCATCATGTGCTAAATATATAAATATATCTAAATATATTTCACTGCTTCCATCATTAACAGAAACTCTTGTAAAAGCAACCCCACTATATATTAGTAATGGATTATTATTAGTAAAAATCAGTTTAACATGTTATCTAATTTCTTCTTCTGTTCTGTCTGTGTAGCCTCCTCCTCTTGAACATTGCCACAGCTCGACCCCTGTGAGGTTTTATTTTGAAAGTCCTCACAGGAAGAAATGCTAATTTACTCTGGCTGACTTCGACACTTGGAGGCACATCTTTTATTTCATGCAAGGGCACCAGGCGCTGCAGGTTTGTGTTGTGTTCAGTGTATTAGATTCCACTCTTTTATTTTATTTTTTCATTTTAATTTGTGTCAGCAGTGATGTGACAGTGAGCTGTGTGTTTTGTTTTCATGCTGGAAAGGACTATGTGGAATATTGTCCTGCAAACAACCTGACGCTCCAGACACAAGGTGAGAAAACGACTTTATCTTTATTGAAGTCGGTCATTTGAGATTCATTTATCGTCATTATATTGGCAGCGTTTTTACTGATGAAAACAGCTGCTCTCAATTCATGTAAATTATCAGTGAGTCAATAAATCAATCAGTGCCTCAGTGTGAATGGTGAGGCTCAGTGAGGACTGTAGTAAAGTGGGTTTGTACAGTGTGTTCAGTGTGTTTTTAGTTGAGTGGGCTCAGTTCAGTGCAGTCCACAGTGGGCAGAGAGGTTCATCAGTTCACATGAATGCTGGCGCTGGGCCTTCTCTCCTCCTCCTCCTCTCACTTTCATTCCTTTTCATCCTCTTCCTCTTTCAAACTTCTCTTTTGTTTCATCGCCCCGTCCCTGCTTTCATCTTCTGCCACTGGCTTCCTTCTGAATTTCCACCCGTGTCGCTGTCTGATGTGCAGCTCAAAGGAAGCAGCGAAACATGCATCAGAAAACACCGACGCACACTGTATTCACTGTCTCCCTCCAGATTTTGACTTGAGACTTGAACCAGCAACCTTGTAGTAGAAAGCCCACCGCTCTCATTAATCCCATCCTCATTTCTCCGTCCGTTTCCCCAGGATGTCTTGGCCGGCTCTGTACGCTCAGCTGGTCGGGGCGAACCGTCACTCCACCAGCCTGGGTAAAGTCTGGCTCTCTGTGCTGTTCATTTTCCGGGTCATGGTTCTGGTTGTTGCTGCCGAGAGCGTGTGGGGAGATGAGCAGTCTGACTTCACCTGTAACACACTACAGGTAGGACACCCAAGTCATCTGATATCATTATGTTCCATCATATCCTCATATCGTTTCACCCTGGAACACAGTATGTGGGATTTTTGATAGTGTTTATTAATCTTTATGCACAGTTCTGTCAGAAATGTTTGCTAATATGCATTAAAGTGCAGCTCTGTATCTTTGGAGAGACAACCAATGAAACGCATCCTTACTTGGTCTGGTCCGACCAGCAGCTAATGGTTCTTAATGTTAACAAATTTATGGTAGTTAATGTTGAGCAGCTGACTTTATTGGGGGGAACTTAAGTCACATGACTTGACTTCAGTCACAAATTTGAGGACTTGAAACTTTCCTTGACGAACACTGATGAAAGACTCGACTTGACTTTAACAGATGACTCGAAGGGACTTGACTTTTTTTCTTATTAAATATTTGCATTTTTCTAGATATTGAGAGAAGTTACATTTTGTTTTTGAAAAAGTTTTGGGTGATTTCTGGTTCCTATAAGTACTACACAAGATCACGTCATTAGTAGGAAGGACCACAACATAAAACATATACACTTGAACAAAAATATAAATGCAACACTTTTGTTTTGTCTCTCACTTTTCATGAGTTAAAGAAACTTTTTCTAAACACATAAAACGCTTCATTCTCTCAAATTGTGTCGACAAACGTGTTTAAAGTCACGTCAGCGAGTGCTTCTCCTGTGTCACTATAATGCTCCCACCTGGCAGGTGTGGCACATCAAGATGCTGATTGCGCAGCATGATTTCCTGCACAGGTGTGACGGGCTGGTCTCAATAGAAAGCCACTTTAAAATGTGCAGTTTTATTTTGATCAGGTTGTTGATTGTTCTTCTGTTGCTGGATATTGGCAGGAAGTGGAAGATGCTGATGTTCAAACACGCTCAACGGGGACATGACTGGTGACTCTGCAGGTCATGCGAGATGTTGGGAAGTTTTTACGTCAACAGAGTTTCTCCTCTCAGCTGTTTTTATTCTCCATCTGTGCGTCCGTCTCTCTGTGTTTCAGCCTGGCTGTGAAAACGTCTGCTACGATCAGTTCTTCCCCGTCTCCCACATCCGTCTCTGGTGTCTTCAGCTTGTCTTTGTCTCCACGCCAACGCTCCTGGTTGCAATGTATGTGGGCTATAGGAACCACAGGGATAAGAAGAGGCTGCTGCAGGTGTTTGTACTGTTCAAAACCGTCAGTGCCAAAAACAAAACCATCGTGTTGGAACAGAAACCGATTTGTTACATCATGTGATGTTACACCATCTCATATCGTGTGTGTGTGTGTGTGTGTGTGTGTGTGTGTGTGTGTGTGTGTCAAGTCTTCTAGTCATGTCTTGTCTCATTTTAGATTCCCATGCTGTGTCCTCGCCTGTCTCGTCTTGTGTTGTACTGTGATGTCATGTCACGTGATGGCACAGCTGTCATGTTGCTGTCATATTTTGTCTTTTCTGGTTGTGTCTTGTTTTGTTTGGTCTTTTTCTTTTCCTGTCTTATTGTGTCTGACATTGGTCTTTCTTTTTTTTTTTCTACCTGTGTCTCATCTTGTCTTTTCTGGTCTTGTTGTCAGGTCTTATGTCTTTTTTATCTCGTCAACTGATGTTTTGTCTTGTCTCGCGTCATGTCATATCATGTGATTTCTTGTCGTTGTCTTTTCTGGTCTTGTCTTGTTGTGTCATGTCTTCTCGTCATGACGTCATGTCGTCTTGTCTTATCCTGCCTGGACACATCTGGTCTTGTGTTGTCTCTTATTTTGTTCCCTAATGTCTTGTCATAATACGTCACATCATGTCTTGTGATATCATGTCTTCTTTTATGCCTTATTGTGTTGTCTCTTGTTTTTATTTTGTCGTTTCTGGTTGTGTCTTGTCTTGTTCTAACTCCATGTCCTGTGTGACAGGGTTCTGGCAGATCTGGTTTCCTCGGCAACAAAGGTCAGGAGGACGAGTTGGAGACTCTGAAGAAGCGGAGACTCCCTATCGCCGGCGCCCTCTGGTGGACGTACGCCTGCAGCCTGGTGTTCAGGCTGCTGTTTGAGGGAGGCTTCATGTAAGATTGTGTTATTCTGACTTCCTGTCAGTTTGCTGATTTGGTGTAAACACAGCGTGTGTGTGTGTGTGTCCTCAGGTACGCCCTGTATGTAGTGTACGACGGTTTCCAGATGCCACGGCTGGTGCAGTGTGACCAGTGGCCGTGTCCTAACCTGGTGGACTGTTTCATCTCTCGCCCCACCGAGAAAACCATCTTCACCGTTTTCATGGCCACCGCCTCGTCCATCTGCATGGTCCTCAACATGGCTGAACTCGCCTATCTCGTTGCCAAGGCTGTGACTAGGTAGAGGTATTAATCAGTCAGACAGTCAGGTGATTAATCAACTGATTAATTTATCAATCATTTTACCCAATTAATATTTTTGTCATTGTTAAGATGGGTCTGTTCCACGCGTCTGTGAGTCTGATCAGCTCATACAAGATAAATGTGTCACGGCTTCATTCTTCATCTGTGTTATAGAACATATAGAAATTCTTTAAGTCCACGTTCCTCCTTCTCTTCAGGGGTCTCAGCGGTCAGAGGGAGACGAGGTCAAGCAGTAAATCCAGCAGCAGAGAGAGGACGTAGAACAAGACGAACCAGGAGTTACTTGTCTCGACCTGAAGACGCAGCAACAAGGTGGATGACACACGCAGGAGAAAGACATTGATCCTAAGACTTAAAACACTTAAAGGCTGCATAATTACAAGAGGAGCACACGTGAATGACATGTGTAAATACAGCAGAAAGTGGACGTTTTCTATGATGCCTGAATGTAACATTTAACGGGTGGAGAGGATGTCAACAACTCAAAAGTGTATTTTTACACGATGCTGTTTGAGATTTTATGTCAGTAATTTGTTTTTGATAGTAACTTTCCTTTAGTAGAGTTGTATAATTGAAATATGTAGACACACACACACACACACACACACACACAATATATATTCTAATGTAACGGGGGTAAAAATAGACAAAGAAAAATTGTGTTTTTAAATTCATGGTGCTGTAGGATTTTAGGGCTATCATGCCATCTATTGGGGAGCAAGAAAACAGCAGCTACACACACACACACACACACACACACACACACACACACACACACACACACACACACACACACACACACACACACACACACACACACACACACACACAGTAGATACATATATACAGAAGAGTTGTCTGTATTTTTTATTTTAATAACAATTCACTGAATATAAATGCACTCACCATCTCTCACTTTACTTCCACAAATAAAGTTTCATCTTATATTAAATTTGTGTTTAATTAAAGATTCATATCGTATTAATAATGATCTTGTCTGGGCAAACTAAACTGAAACAAACACACACAATTCATTAAACTATACGATCATATTTTATCTATATATAAATGTGAAAATGTACTTAAGTAGGATTCAAACAGATGCACCGTGTTTGTTAAACTACATGCAGAGAATCAATAGATCATCATCAGATTAATTATTTAAAACAATTATCTGGACCCCACCTATGAAGATAGATTCAAAGTGAGGAATGTATATTTATTTTATGAATGCGTAAATGAAAGGATGGCGTTACCAAGAGAACCGCTTCATATTTTAGTTTACCCCTCGTGTTTCTGTGTATTTCAAGTACAAAACCTCAAATGAACTGGAACGAACAAGTCAACAAATGTATTTCCATTTCCATCAGATGCATCTAGTGACCGACTGTATGTGCTGTAGCCCCACTGCATGTACTCTGTTGACCTCTACTGGCGAGCAGCGGCAACTGCAACAGTGCGGTCAGGTCCATGCGTCCTCCCCTCCTCTCAGAGACAGACACTCACATATAACTAATTAAGTTACAGAAATGTTTGGTTTCACGTTATAACAAGCAACTATGGTGACGTAGCTGTTTGATCCCTTTTTATAAATTATAATCAACAAAGTAAGTCAACAAAGTTCTTTTCATAAATAGTTTATTTTGCTTCTTTAAACCTTGTCAGCCAATTTATTCAGAAATAAAAATGTATTAAGACAATCTAATATTGATGTTATAGACCTACAGTTTATTTTCAAATTTGTATTTAGTTTGTCTGTCTATTATTTTAACATATTCTTTATAGTTCCAAACCACTCTAAACTCCAAATTTACTCCAAGTTTACTATTAAATATCAGCTATTTATAATGCTAATACTAGCTACTGCTGCTAGCCTACTATATCTATGTATATAATTTACACTACTAGCCTATTACTATAGCAGTAATACTACTCCTACTACTACTACCACTAATAATAATAATAATAATAATAATGACAATAATACTGATATTTTATCATTTAACAAAAAGAAAAAAAATGTTATTCTTGTTTCAAACTATTCAGATTTGGCTCAGCAGGAATATGACTACGCACACGCGCGCGCACGCACAAACACGTACCTCCCCCACCCCCCACCACCACCCCCCTCGTGCGCCCCATGCACGGGGACACTGATGTGTGACAGTGGCGGATGGCCTTGGCCACGCGGGACGCAGCCGCTGCGCTTCGCCTTCGCGGGACAGGTTCCACACGCGCCCTTTTTTTTTAGACTAGACTAGCCTCGCGTCTTTTTTTTGTACTCTCTCTCGCTGTAACTCTCTGTTATCCTCTCTCTGTGTCTCTCTCCCTCCCCCCTCCTCTCCCACTAACCTCTCCGACTCCTCGCTTGGTCGCCTCGAGCCCACCGGTGGGAGTAAGAGACTGAAGAAGAAGAAGAAGGAGGAAGGAAAGAAGTGAGAGAAGAAGAAGAAGGAGAAGGAGAAGAAGCGCGCTGCCCGGAGGGAGACGTGTTTCAGAGGAGAGCGGTAAGCAGCAGGTGGAGGCTGGAGTGATGGAGTTATCTGAGGTGGGAGGGAAGAGGAGGGATTATCATCCTTCCACCTGCTGGATTATCAGCACCTCTCGTGCTGCATTCACTTCCCTGTGGGAAAGACGGCACACAGGAAGCCACTAATATTTCATAAAGTTAATTTATCATAAAAACCCAACTCAGAGTATTTGACATTAATTGACTGTTCAGATTTTTTGAATTTTTTTTTGATATCACAATTATTGTTAGCATTAAAATAACACATCAAACTGAGTCCTGAACCGTAATTTAAACTGTTTTACTCAACTTCAATTGGCTTGTTTCGACATTTATATGTGGAGTGTATGAGAGAAACTTTCTGGTAACTTTTTTATATATATATATATATTCAAACAAGATAAACCAGCAAAATTAATTAACTGTTCATCACAAAAAGATACTGTATTTTAAACCAGGGTTCCTAGAGAGAGACTGGTGTTGTTTTTGGTCAGGCTTTCTGCACATTACCTGGTGGGGCCACTGCACATATCTGTGAAAATATCATCGTTCGTTCAAGAACCATTTGCATTTAGTTGTTGATTCCTCTCTATGTTGCTGCCTCCATGTAAAAGCTATGAAAAAAAAAAAAGAGGCAGATGCCAAGTGGTCTAAAATTTATTTATCTGTTATTTTGTCATCACCAGAGAGGAAATACAGATTTCTCAAATGAAAAAAATAGACCTAATGTCATGCACGTTTTTGCTTTTATAGCCTTTATTTTTATTACTAACACCAGAGGATACGTCTTAATAACCAACACTTTGAATTCGCTGATCTTAACCACCCAGTTGTTGAAATATTTATTCATATATTCCCCCGTTTATTCTGGGATGTTTCACTCGTGATGTTCCTTTCTTTGGACGTTCTCTAGTCTCCACCAGAGTTTGCCTGCGTGCATCTTTGTACACGTTTAAACACTGTTTTATACTTTTATTAACACACGTGCTATTTTACACCTTTAGTCACACTTATTGCGCATTTAACTTAACGCTTATTTATTCACTTTTATGTACATTTGCAAACCGTTACACACCATTTTGTATTTTTATGCAACTTTATGCACCTTAATCCATACATTTACACACTTTATGCACTTTAATGCTCTTCCTGTGTCCCTGACTTATCAGCCCATAGCATCATTTCTTCAACATTGATCATGTTTACATGGAGTAACGCAGCTATGTGAGCTCGCCTCGGTTCATCTAACTGATTTATAATGTTTATGGGTGTGTGTCAGACTAAATTTAGGGTTAGTCGATTGAGTGGGCAATGAAGAGAATGGACTTTCACACGGACGCCACCGCTGTCTGCATATCTTTAAAAAGTTTTCAGGTGCGGACGGCAGGCCAAGAGTTAACTGTTTGGGCTGTTTTAGCACAAAGGCCTCTGATCCATGAAAAGCACACGGCAGACAGGACAATGTCCATCTGGCAGCTTCTCTATTGTCCGTGGTGACAGATGGTATTTCATCACGTCAACACATCATGTATATGTACACATGCCGCTGTTACGGTAGATTGGAGCATCAGTGGGCTCTTAATGGAGCTTTTCATTCGTTAGCTGAGAACATGATTCTCTGTGCGTTCAGGATTTTGGAAAAGTGACATCATCTGCGTCGACTCCGCTTTAGCACAGATGCTATGACAACATTTAAGGTGGATTTTTGAATCTTTTACTGTATTAAAGGGGCCAATGTAATATTATTCTTCTATTTTATATTTGCCATATAAACCTTCAGTTTGTCAGTGGTTCTCTATCGTGGATTTTCATTTCATTATTCCATCGTGAGATTCACAGTTCGTATTAGAAGTAGATGAAGTTGTTAGTGGCTTCTATTCACTGGTGACAGTGTGGAGGTCAGACATACAGGAGCAATGTATGCTACTGTAACGTGTGTGTGTGTCTGTGTCTGTGTCTGTGTGTGTGTGTGTGTGTGTGTGTGTGTGTCTGGTGTGTGTGTATCAGTCGATCCCAGGCAAACATTTGCCCTCCTCAGCATTCCTGGGATGTGATGAGTCCAGCATTCAACAGGGACAACCTGTTATCCACTCATTCACTTCCCACAGATGGCCAGCCATTGTCCACTAGCCAGCCAGGCCTGCAGCACAGACACACACACACACACACACACACACACACACACACACACACACACACACACACACACATATACACACACATACATACACACACATGCACACACACACGCACCGTACACATTTGCAGAGTAACATACAGATGTGATTGAGATGTGAAGTTTTATTCTGTCTTTAGTAGTTTTCAGATTTCAGAAAAACATAAATATAAACAGTCTAACGGTTTCTTTTAATTGTAATTAATGTAATTAGGACCAGTCTGGTTAGTACCACACAAGACACTGCAGCAAACTTGCACAGAAACGGCGTCTCCGCTGCTTTTTTAGAGTTTATTTTCTGACTGTAAAACATCAACATATTGTGGAGACAGTTCTGAAACTTTTCGAAACTTTGAGACGCCTCCTCGTTCTCTCCTCCGCAGACTCCGCCAGACTCCTAGTCGCCGTCGCTCACTCCCCTCTTCAGCTCTGGAAAACCGGTCATTGCTGCCGGTGCGGGGAATGTCGCCGCAGACAGCAGATTTAAAACTATAGCGTACTCTGAAACACCAGGCACTGATAGGCTCCGTCAGCACCGCGTGAACTCGTTTGGCGAGGCCTTGAATGTAACGGACATTTGCTTATGAGTAAAACTCATTCAGCGTCTTTCAGCTCATTGTTTTGGTTTCGATCCGCTCTCTCTGTTCTCCTCAGTGTCGTCTCCAGATATCTCTCTTCAGCAGAAACGATAATAATTATGGATTATTAGTTGCTAAGGAGACAGATATTTCCCTCCGGAGAGTTCATATTGGACTTAATGTTCTATTCATCCATTCATCGGGTGACTGCATGACTTCTGCTCTGCATGTGCTGAATGTGAAACAGATTTGCAGTATAAACTCTCATATATCTCCACCTGTAAATATTCAATCTCTGGGATATGATGAACTAATGTGTCCGCCCCTTCAGAAAAGCTATTGCCCTACATGCTATGCTAACGCTATAACCCCACTTTATTCTTCCTAATCTACATTTTATGACGCATGACCGCTCACAGATTTCAGTATTGCTCATGTTAGCGGTCCTGGAGTCACTAAACACGAACCTGGTTTGGTTTGGTTGCATTAAAAGTAGTGATGAGGACTTTGTGTGGTTTGTTACCTTTAAAGTTGACAAGAGCATTTTGTCTCTTCTTTCCAGATATTGTTTTTCTTCTGATCTCTGGTCGATGGATTTATCACTGACAATACAACAATATTTTAGTAAGTCTGCCTCCCTTGTCTTTTCGTTGTCTGCTCTGACCTCAAAACCTGGCGTAGGTTTCAGATTTACAAAAACTGACAACAGGTGTGTTGATGAGGAGAAGTGGTCGGGTCTGTGCAGAAGCTAAATTGCTGTTGTGTCACGTTTATGAACTTTATTTTTGCAGAGATGTCATTTTTTTTTAAGAATGAGGCTGGAAATGCTCTTTATAATGTCTTATTGTCAACAAATCGCCAAACACCAGAACATCCCCTCACACTCCTCAAAGCAATGTAATATGGTTCTGTTATTTCTCCCACTGCCCCAAGTGTGAAAATATTTCCAAATAAATGCAATGTTCTGAGTATCGTTTGCAGGGAAGTCGGACACGATGTTGGTTTTGGTGTCTTCGTGGAATTTGTTGACAATAATAAATCATTCAAAACAAATACCTCCTCCCGTTTGTGTCGTTCACCACCGACTCTTGTTTCTCTCTCCAGGCTAGAAAACAGAGTGAAGCATGGGTGACTGGAGCTTTCTAGGGCGGCTGCTTGAGAACGCTCAAGAACACTCCACTGTGATTGGAAAGGTGAGCGATTGATTGATTGATTGATTGATTGATTGGTTATCAGAGAGCAAGAAGTGTTAAATTGTTGATGAGCCTAATGAATCTGTTCGTCCCTCCGTCCTTCCTCCCCAGGTTTGGCTGACTGTCCTCTTCATCTTTCGCATCTTGGTGCTGGGTGCAGCGGCCGAGGAGGTCTGGGGGGACGAGCAGTCAGACTTCACATGTAACACGCAACAGCCCGGTTGCGAGAACGTCTGCTATGACGAGGCCTTCCCCATCTCCCACATCCGCTTCTGGGTGCTGCAGATCATCTTCGTCTCCACGCCCACCCTTATCTACCTGGGCCATGTGCTGCACATCGTCCGCATGGAGGAGAAGAGACGGGAGAGGGAGGAGGAGCTCAGGAAGGCCGGACGGCACCAGGAAGACCACGACCCCCTCTTTCACAACGGGGTCGGTGACGGAGGAGGAGGAGGAGGAGGCGGGAAAAAGGAGAAGCCGCCGATTCGCGACGAGCACGGGAAGATCCGTATCCGCGGGGCGTTACTGAGGACCTACATCTTCAACATCATCTTCAAGACTCTGTTTGAGGTGGGCTTCATCCTGGGACAGTACTTCCTGTATGGCTTCCACCTGAGGCCGCTCTATAAATGTGGCCGCTGGCCCTGCCCCAACACTGTGGACTGCTTCATCTCCAGGTTAGAGAGCAGGACTTCCTCAGAGGATCCGTCTCTTTTTTTGGTTTTTGTCTTCATTTTCTTCTTATTTGTGTGTGTGTGTGTGTGTGTGTGTGTTTCTGTCATAGGCTACATTTGGGGACACATTTCAGACCAGTTAATTGTCCAATTGGAAACAAAAATGGGAAATAGCTCAAGGTTGAGGTTAGAGAGTAAGTCTTCAGGAAATGAATGTCAGTCTATGTAATGTCCCCAAAAGTGACCTATGACAACGTGTGTGTGTGTGTGTTCATTTGCAATGCAAGTCCTAAAACCCAGAAATCAGTTCGCACTTTTGGACCGTTTTGGTTGGATGGTTTCTTAAAGCTTTTACATCTCCTAAAAAAAAAAAAGGTCGGTTGCTAACAAGTAAATGAAACTACAGCGGTTGTCGGGGACGACCGGTCCACCTTTACAGCCTCGTTGTGTTTAAACAAACTGTTACTAATTTTTTATGAGGAAAAGCTTTTGTAGAAGAAGTCAGAGCTAAAGCAAAACGCCCACGTAAAAACCCCATTGGCTTTTTGTCAAGGGAACCGGGATGACTCACTGAAGCCACGCCCCCACAGCTACACCTGTCAAGCTGCAAGCAATTACTAATGGTGGCACCTTTACCTTTTTTCCAGCCATTTCTGGTAGAAATGACAGACTTCATCAGCTGTAGCTTCTAGATAATCAAACGTTTGCTCCGTGAATAGGTTGAAAACTTGAATATGCATCTGATGGCCACATACATGATACTGTGGTACAAGACGGGAGGTGCAGTCGAAACACTGAGGCTAAATAAAATCTACTTTTGTCTGTTTGTTGTCTCAGGCCCACGGAAAAGACGATCTTCATCATCTTCATGCTCGTGGTTGCCTGTGTCTCTCTGCTGCTCAACCTGCTCGAGATCTACCACCTGGGCTGGAAGAAGGTCAAACAGGGGGTCACCAATGAGTTCGTACCCGACACCGAGTCGCTGCTGCTCGGTCCGGACGAGCGAGGAGACTCGGAGACGATTCCTGAGCAGACCGCCCCGTCGGTGCTCGACTGTCTGCCGGCGTACGCCAGTGTGACCGTGGTGGGGGCCGGAGCAGCCGGGGGAAGAGCTTACAGTCCAACAGAAGCCACCGCCCCTTTGCCCGCTGAGCTCAAGATGGATGGCACGGGGTTCCACCCAGACGACTACCTGTTGGAGACCCTGCCCACTTCCTTTTACGGCGGCCGTAACAAAGGGAGCGTGGGAAGCCGCGGGCAGCTGACTGCAATGGAGCAGAACTGGAGCAACATGGCACTGGAGCTCCGCAATGGAAAAAACTCCACCTCCTCCTACCCTCCTACTCTTCCCTCTCCTCCCACCTCCACCTCCTCCTCTCCTCAGGAGGAGTCGACTCCCGCGCACGAGGATCAACGCTCAATGTTTCCCACACTTCCTCGTAATACCCCTCTTTCCCCCCTCACGCCACAGGAGACAGCGTTGGATGAGGAAAACACCACAGCGCCTTATATGGTCCCACACGACGACTTCACTGTGGTCACCAGGGCGGAGATGCATCAGCCTCCGTCTGCTGCGGCGACAGACATCCGGAAGCCGAGTCGGGCCAGCAAGAACAGCAGCGTCCGAGCTCGCCCCGACGACCTGGCCGTGTAGCTAAAACCCACACACACTCACACACTCACACAACCTCACACACATGCTGTATACACATAGAAAAACCTACAAATGCACAACAGCATAAAACCACACGAGCACGCCCTCCAGCAAAAGACTGACGCTCTGCAAGGCAGATGTTAACTAGTAGATTCAGCTGGAGTCGGCCGCTTATTTTAATCTCAGAATTATGAACCAGGAATAGGGATAGAAGGAGTTTGGCCAGATTACACTGATGGCACCCTGCTGATGCCCTGTCTACATATCAGTCATATCAGCAACAGTACGCAAAAGTGAGCTCAACTTTTAAAAACATCAGCTCTGCAGAAATCCTCCGGTAGCACATCTGGAGTCGGTGCGGACAGATGTCTGTGCACATGTGATCCAGATGTGAGAATTTTTCTGTCATTCACCAACATTTTAAAGCAATCAAAGAAAAAATAAACACGACACTGTCGAACACGAAAGACACAACGATAAAAAGTGAGGGAGGGGAGGAAGAAGCCGAAGATAAAAGAAACTTACGATCAAAAAGTAAAAACACAACAAAGCAGATATTTGATTTGATTGAACAAAACAAACAAACATATAAATAAAGGTTTTCATGTGTATTTAACACGGAGCATCTAAATGAAGAATTTTGTAATAATTTAAATACCTGTTCTGAGGGTATTTCTTCAGGGTTTAAACACAAAAAGTGCCTTTTAATAATTCGTACAAATTATGAGATTGTAGTATGAATAATGTTATTTTTTAATCAATTTATTGTTTTTAATTCTGTTGTTGAGCACAACTCTCATTAGAGTTTTTAGAGGTGAGACTCAGTAAAAGCCGATTCTCGCCAGTTTGCAACTTTTTTTTTCTGCATCACTAATAATCAAGTGCCACAAAACAAAACCACCATGAAGCTGCTGGTTCCCCGACTGAAACGTGCACTTACCATGTTTAAACTGTGTTGTTAAAGTAATAGTTTGACATTTTGGGAAATAAGTTTATTAACTTTTTTTTTTTTTTTTTGTCGAGAGTGAGATTAGGAGATCGTTAGCGCTCTCATGTCCGTGCGTTGACCGTGGAGTCAGTTAGCTTAGCTTAGCTTAGCATAAAGACGGGAGAACGGGGAAACGGCTAGCGAAGCAGCTCACCACACAGCTCAAAATACAATCCAATATGAACACTAATATAATTCATTCAGCAAATTTAAACTGTAGATTGTGTTTAAAGTGAAGTTCATGATGTAAACTGGAAACAGCTCCAGATGTGCGACGCAGCGAAGGTCAACAACGTTAAGGGAAAACAGCATGACGGTAAACAACAAACTGGATTTTCCCAACATTGTGTGAACACATCATTAAAGATACTGGTAGCTGTGTATTTGAGCTTTGAAGAGCCAGGCTAGCTGTTTCCCCCCGCTTCCAGTCTTTATGCTAAGCTAAGCTAAGCTAATCGCCTGCTGGCGCTGGCTCCATAGTGAGGAACAGATATGAGAGCTGTATCGATCTTCTTCCCTAACTGTTGGAGAAAAAAAAATAAATGCAAATGAACTTACTTCCCAAAAATGTAAACCATTCCTTTAAGTGATACAGGTGATCCAACATGGCTGCCATGTTGGAGACGGTGTGTGACAGCACCTAAAATCCAGTGGATTAATGATAACGTGCTTAGCACAAAGAGAGAGATTAAGCGCCAGCATGGCTGCTACTCACTGTTCTGGCCACGCTCTCTTTTGTTAGAGGAGTTGGACAGGGAGGGTGTACAGGCCCATGAAATGGGGATCACAAACACACACACTTACATACACACCCACAGTATATATATATATATATAATGTTATATAATATATAATATATATATATACAAAACAATATATAGGCAGAAGACACGAATAAGAAAGGTGATGAATGATGATGATGATGATGATGATGATAATGATGATGATGATGATGATGATGATGATTGGACTAACTAATAAGTTTGGGAGCGTAGAGGCATCAGTACTATATTCTTTTACTTTCATCTTTCTTTTATTTCTTTGCTGGGAGACATCAGAGGAGAGGTTTGCACTTTTTGTTTCTTTATTTTCATTTTTCTTGTGACGTGGTGATGGAGCCGTGCGTCTGTCGAATCTGTCCGTCTGCGTGTGCTGCTCTCACCCAGCCTGTCATTTCAATGAAGAGAGGGATGCACCGACGTTAGGACAGAGCGGATGACCGGAGGAAAGCAATAAAGCAGTCCCACCCTGAGACGTAGTCTTTAGGCTTCACAGGCTGTGTGTGTGTGTGTGTGTGTGTGTGTGTGTGCGTGCGTGTGTGTGTGTGTGCGTGTGTGTGTGTGTGTGTTGAGGTACCTTAATTTGTTTCAGTGTTTACAAAATGACATCTCTGCAGTTACATCAGGGTAAACTATATAAAGTTTATAAATATGTAAATATATAATGATTAATAGTATTGATAGACACCACAGGATATTATACAGAACTACCTATACTTAAAAAAAACAGTTGTTAGTTTCTGATCAAGCTGCAATTTTATTATTTATAAAGACTTTCCCTAAGAAAAACCAAAACACCAAGAGTGCTTCAGTAGTTTCTGACATTGGCCCCACTGGTCACTTTATACAAAAATCCAATGTTAGAAAAGATGCAAATAAAAAATAAAACACGATCAAGGTCTAAATGACATTTGGTTTATTGAGCAACGTGAAGCTTTGCAGCTTGAACAGGGAATAAAAATCAGTTCACCTTCTTTCTGATGCTTGTGTTTGCAGTGTGTTACAGAACTGTCGAGTTCCCCTATGTGTTCTGTATAGGAGGACTCGAAGTTCATTTTCTAGACTAGCTGTAGAATATACAGTAGCTTTTAGATTTTTTTTTTTGGAGAAAAGAAAAAGAGAGCAATATGATCTAAAAAAGTGATTTTATTTCTCTGTTAATTCTTAACAGACATCCCACATAGGAATGTTCATTCTTCCTGTTCTTCTCATTAATTCCTGCCAAAAAAGAGAGAAACAAACAAATAGAAAAATGGCTAATATGAATTCAGTTGTGTTGCCTTACAGCAACTAGCCAACAGCTTTAATTAATCATGTTTTATCCAACATTCAGGAATATAAAATACACCCTAGTAGCAAGGGGGAGTGGTTTGGGGCAAATTGCGTTTTGGGTTTGTACATCTTTGTGTTTCTTTCTGGGCAGAATATTTAGAGGATTATAACTTAACATACTTGAAGAATACTAGAATGATTTACCATTCGTGAATTAGCATTTGAGCACCATAACCAAAATAACCTAAATGAATGTATGTTTACATGTCGATAAAAACAAAATGTTGTTTTTGTCCACGCACTTGCTTTTTCCTGAGCTTTCTTGCATGGTCTTCACTGTTTGTGTAGTTTTTAACCGGCTTGGGTAAGATGTTTTCCCATCAGGTAAATAACCCGTGACTTTGTTTTTACACTGTTACAGTGTCATGGGTGTTAACCATCTCCTAAAGACACTGGTTGTGCTGAATGAGATTTTTTTATTGCAGCTGCCAAATCTTCAAGTGCCTTGATTAATGGTCACACACTGTAATAAATACATTTATATCATGGAAATGTTCACCCATATGCATTCATGGCAACGTGGAACTTAAGTATCACACCTGCACAGCGGTCAGACGTTTAGAATAAAGTTAGCTCAGCGTTAGCACCCAGGCTAACTTCTAAATTGCTAGTGTTCGTTGCTTGTTGCAAAGTTTTGGCAGATTATCAAAGTTGTTAATTATTGCCAAGAGTTTGATGAGAAGACTACAACCACTTTTATGTTTATCCATGAAGTGCAGAGGGACAGTCGTGAGGTTTAGCAAAGCTAACTGTCTCCTGACTGTAGCTTCATGAGAGTGGTATGGATCTCTGTTGGACGAGCTACCACAAACTGTGAACTTGCTCTCTGTTATTTTTAGTTTTGTCATGGCTTGTCAACTGGCAGTTCACCTTATTTGTAGTTTTAACATCACTAACGTGTCCCAATAATGTCCCAATAGCTAAATAAATACAAATTTTAAAAAAACAGATGAAAAAGTTCTATCATCTTTGCTTTGACGACAACGTACGAAAAAAGTTCCAGATTTCAGAATTAAGTCAAAATGATCAGATCCAGGCAACAAACTCGCTCTTCCAGTTCCAGGGACATGCATTTTATTATTTGGCTTGTAAAAGAACCTAAATGAAACTGAACCATTGTTAATATTATTTGTTCCACGTGTTTCTGTGACGAGCCTAAATGTCTGTAACGATAGAGGTCTGTTGTATTCGACCACTGTGTGGTCTTACTGTTGACTATTCTATGATTTGACCAGGATTGGAATCTGAATGGGTCGCCATGTTGAAAAGCGAATGCGTCTGCCGACCCCATAACCTTAACTCAGTGACGCCAGGATCAGTGGCCTCTCTATTTTTAAAAGTTTAAAAGTTAATGACTTTCATCTTGTCATGAATGCAACCGTTTAATTTACACAAACGAACGTGAGGTGACATAGGAAGCTGCAGTGAAAGGCGCTTCAGTTTTAGCACATTAGCCACATTTTGGTTGAGAACAACTGATGTTGTCGAGGACAGGGTGAACTAGAGGCTGAATACATGCTGTCTGCTGACTGTGTCAAATGTTTACATGTCTCTGATCAAACCTAAACTTCAGCACACCATGGCAGCTGAAGCACTTAATCTGTATGAGCTGTGATGTGCCTGATTTAACCAAAGATATTTACCAAAGAGATCACAATGCCTAATGGATTGTTTTTTGTTTTTTAAAGAGTTCTGCTTGGGAACCTCACCCCTAACCCTAACAATCATGTCTCCAACCACACCATCAGTTTTACAACCCTTTCATGAAATATAGGAAAAGAGAATTCCACCAAAAAGACATTATGTTGAACTTTGTCTCTAAACAATGTTGAAACAAGGTTTACTTTACTTATTTTTATTGCTGAAATGTTTTTTTTCATAACCTTGTTGTTCCAAGCTGTTTAGTACCTTTAATATGTAGATAAAGATTTGCACAGTTAGATAGCTAGACCGCTGTTATGAGGATATGAAGATATAAATAGAAAAGAGAAATAACAAAGGGTGTCCTAGGAGGAGGGATATTAGGGATATTAACATATTTTTGTTTATTTATGGCAATAATACAATCAAAATTAGACATGGAATGGACAAGAAATAAATCTAAAGTGATTGTTCTTTTTCTGTCCTGATTATGGATTGGGAGACTTTTGGCTACTCCGGCTTTTACACCATAGATGTGCCTTGGATCAAAAATTCCCACAGTGGAAAACAGAGGTTGTGTGGTGGGATTTTTCATGGCGCCCCGACAAGCAGGGACACTGACTCCCACGTGTTTAAAAACGAAGACCAACCCCCTGCTATTACTCCCGTTGTAAAATGACTTGTCTTTGAAGAGAAGTGCCTTGCGTCTGAACCTTATGTTTAAGAACATGTTGATGTAAATGTTCATTTACCTCAGATGTTTACAGAACTGTTACTGAATAAACTTTTTGTACCATACTGGTATTCTGTCATGGTTAGCGTTTTCCTTTCGGATTGTTTCTCTTTCCATTTGGGGTCCAGAAACCAAAACCACTTGAGCAGTTATCCATCAAACCGGAGTGACACAACTTCCTGTTCGCTAATTTCCTTCCCCAAACAGTGAAACCAAAAACAGAAGAGCAAACCTCTAAGAAATGGATTAAACAGTAGATATATCTGCTCTAATGTGAGCCATTAATGTTAGCATGGCTGGCTAACTAGCTTCTTATCTCCAGTAGTAGCTTTCTTATGTTACTTCCAAGAGTTAGCTTACTACATAATTACGAGGGGTAAGAAAAAGTATTTACTGTGTGTCTTTAATAAAGAGCATAACATATTATATTAGGAATAAATACTGATATACCACTGTACTATACCAGCAATCCACAAACATTTATTTCCATGTTCTGTAGGCTACATAGATTAAGGATGCTAACTTTCTACGATAAAAAGCTTTAGTGTTTAGTCTCATTTTCACCATACACAGTGCAGAATTAACATGATATCATAGCCATCAATGTATATTTAAGACTCCTTGGTTTCTGATTTTCATACAGGTCAGTCAGAAATATAAAAAGAGTTTTCAACTAAAGCACACAGCATTAGTTAATGTTAGCTAGCTAGCTCGCTAGCCAACTACAGCTGATAAAATCTGCCAATAACTGTTAGCTTGCAAAAGCAATGGTCATCAGCTAGAAATCAGAAGCTCTGGCAGTTTAGTTAAAATAAAAATAGGGCCTAAACATGCCAGTTTATCCAACATTAGTTCCACCTTTGATCAAAATATTAAAATCGGCTGGATTTCAATTAAATTTGACGGAGATGTTCATGTTCTCCTGAGGAGTAATGTTTTGATGAGCCTTTAACTGTTCCTCTAGTCCCAATAACAGGTCAATATTTTCCACTTGAACACAAGAAATATAAAAATCTAACACTCAGATTGTAATTAAATGCACTATACTACACAGACCCATGCTCCCAAGAGGATGAACCCTTTCTCATGTGGATTTTTTTCTCTAGTGCCTTCAGTCGGTTATTGTCAATTTAGCACGCATGTATATGAAGAAAAAGTATATGTGATCCTGCAGGGACGCAGTACTGTTGTACATTTAAATCATACTGGATAAGTATAATAGGTTACAGTAGGTGGGCTAATTAACACACTGCAATTAACTACATTTCCTGTGGATGAAGAGTGCTGTTAGCACATTAGCTTTCCTTAAGTTAAAGATACCAGTAAAAAACAAAACAAATGGTGAACACTATTTTTCAGAATAAACAAATATAAATGTCAGAATACGACATTCAGTCAGTCATATTTACTGATAACATCTCAAACATGCAGCTTTTTGTACAAGAAAATAAAATAGCAAAATAAAATAAGAGTATGTGTATTAATTATTTTAGAATGATGTCAGGCCTGATTATTGATTGTGCCTGATATCTGGTGGCTCAGTGTGTGTGTGTGTGTGTGTGTGTGTGTGATGACAACTGCGCATACTGTCTGCTATGCATGTGTGTATGTGCATTGGTGTTTCTATGTGCACGTGCATGTGTGTTCCGGTGTGTGTGTGTGTGTGTGTGTGTGCGTGTGTGTGTGTGTCCTCATGGCCTCGCCCATTAAGCTGTGCTGAGGGCAGCACTTCCTTTATGCATGCTGAAAGTCCCAGGGATTTTGGCAGAACAAAAACCTCTCCAGGGAGTGAAAAGGCCTTGAATGCCTGTTAATGCCGTCCCGACCTCTGGACTCTTGCAGGCTGCTGCGTACGTGTCTATATGGTCGAATATGAGCATGGACAGTTTGTGACAGTACTGTATATTGTCATAATGAGACACCGGGACTCATCAATAAAATAACCACGTTCTTTGTAGACGTGATGTTTTAGCTTTGGAAAACAGTGGAAATGCAAAGCTTGACTTTGTTGTTGCAGAGAATATTATGTAAATTAAATTGACTATAACTTGCATTTAAAGTTTAAATTAAATATTAAAGAACCAAATCGCTGTCTGAAAGGAAAGTAGATGATCAGTAAAGCAATGCAGCTTAAAAACCATATGAACCTTATTCCTGAAGGCTTTATTGGTTTAGAATGAGCAGGAAACTCAAGAATTGAATTGAAGACTGAGAACATCAAAAAATATTTTCTGTTTTTTTTGGCATCAAATCAGTCTGTGATTCTGTTGTGGCTCAGCTGGACGAGTGTTTCAGCCTCTTTCTTGCAGGAAATAAAGTTTGTGGCCACCAGCAGTTTCTCTAAATTGAGGCCAGTGCTGCAGAGCTTCACACCTGCGTGGAGAGCTCTTAGCGAGCGCACAGCCACACCTGCAGCTCGTTCCCCCGAAAAATCACTGACAACTCAATATGAAGAGAGGACGGAGACACGAGGAGCTGAACACACAAGATATTTGGTGAGAAAAAATAAAAAAGTAAGAATGATGTGAATGTTAAAACGACATGAAATGAAATATACAACAGCACTGTTTGGTGGGTTTAAGCTTCAGGGGGTTGGTGTTGAAATGACCTGATAAACTGAAAGATGTCAGTGAGCTAACACCCATCCAGATTACATCATAGTATTCACAGTGTGTTAGAAATGACATATATGCAAGAAAGCACATTACTTGCATGTGAAAGTGATATTATAGAATCATTATTTCCTTTTCTTTTAACCCTACATTTCACACTAGAGCTGCACTTCAGCTCAACAGAGGAGCACGTGGGCTGACCACACAGACACTTACTGTTTATGAAAGAGCCATTTAGACCACTTATGTGTCCCTTCAGCGTGACATCAGTACATCCCATTAAGACACAGGCATCCTGGGTAAAAACAGGTACTAATGATTTTAAATAGCGAACATTTGAGAAAGATTTGAGAGGATCTCTGGATGGACTCGACTTGTTGAGGCGTCTGCAATAGGACCTTATGACTCATATCTCAGAGTCAGTGCAGCCAGTTCACTGCATGTACTGAATGCAAAACACAGACTGGGAGCCTGACTCATTGATTATGGTCGTGTCATGAGATTATGAAATTGTATTTGATCAAATTGAAGTTTATTTTTCCCCCCATTTAAATCTGTCAGTCACTCATTTTGAAACTCTTCATCATGGCTTCCTGTTCTTGTTTTTTCTTTGATCACTGAGGCCGGTCCTGTCTGCTTTTTTTCTCCTATTTGAATTTCATATGATGATGATATGAAACAGGTTCTTTGGTAATCTGTAAAGTGTGTGTGGCCGTTCCTCTGATCATTTAGTTGTAGCAACACTCACTACACGCCTGTGTGCAGACGTTGTTCGGTTAACAGTGAATCTGATTGTCACATCATTTCCAGAGCAGCACATTCATTTGAACAGTAGGTCCTCTAGTGGCCAAATTCTGACACTACTTAGTAAGTTTCCCTCCGACTTTGTTCCTCACAATCATTGTGACAAGCCTCAGTTTCAAATCTGCAAACCCAAAATAACAAACCAGTAAAAAAACAGTAAAAAAAAATTGAAATTGACGGATTAATTGACTCCAGTTTTCTTTTTTCTATTTTTTCTTTTTATTCACCAAAGAACTCAAACTCCACTTTGCAGGGGAGGAGGATTTTTCACAATCTCATATATGAGTTTAATGAGTGAGATGGTTTTGAGACGGACAGATGTCACTTAGTTCCTTTTGCTTCGGGGTGGCAGATCACTGTGAAATATCCTCTCTTCCCTGAGTCCTATTCCTGACATCCCATCATTTCTGGGGTGATATTATGAAGCTCAGGGGCAATTTTGCCCATAGCCAGTATCATGGGGCTCTCATAGTGGTAAAACTGCGAGCCCTTGAAAATCTTAACTCCGTCTGAGCCACAATAACCAGCATCGATGTCGGACACGGGCAAGGGCACGTCTCGGGTCACCACCCTGGGCGTGGCAGTGAGGTCAACGTCACGCATATGTTGTCCTTTTAGAAAGAAATACGTGTAAAGATGTTTGTCGACAAAGTAAACATTAATATATTGTTTGATGCTTTTTTTATATTTAGATTTGGTGACCTTACCTTGGATTACGTGAACGGTGTGTTCACCGGGACAGTGAAAAGCTGCGTCCACGTGTCCTTCAATGCCAAGCTCCTCCTTCAGGGTCTTGGGGTAGCCTTCCACCAGGATGTAGGGAACACCTGCTTTGTAGATGTAAACCTGATCGTCCTGCAGGTGTGTCCAAGGATTTTAGTTTTAATTTCAACACAACTCAAGGTTTCTAATGCCAGCGGCGGAGAAATGTGAGTGGTTACATCAAGGTCTACCTTAATCAAGTAGGTTTTGTCAGAGTAGGAGAAGACGGCATCCACCCCGCCGGTCACCTCCTTCCACGTCCTGGTGATCAAGAAGGCGTGAAAGCCGTCACGATGGGTGTCCAGACGCATGTAGATAGGACCTGAGCAGAGTGAAGTGTATTCTTTGTCAAAGCTTTACAGTAAGCTCAAAGGTCATACAAGTGGAAAACAATAGCTCGAACTTTTGGGAAATACTTTCTTGCCAAGATTTGATTAGCTTAGCGTAGCATAAAGACTGTAAACAGGGGGAAACAGCTAGCTTAGCTCTGTTCAAAACTCTGACATTCACCTAGCTCCTGTAATGCTGCTTTCATACAGGCACTGGGAAGAACAGGAAAACCTCCCACTGCTATCCTTGCAGTAGTTTGAGGTTTGCATGAAGCTACAGCTAGCAGGTGACTAGCTTAGCTTAGCATAAAGACTGGAAACAAGATGAAACAGTTAGCCAGGCCAAAGTAAATATACAAAGTTTTACAAACCTACATGCTGAGACTGTTTTTGTTTAGGAAGCCTGTTTTTGAACTTTGGCGAGAGCTACCTGTTTTAGCCTCCAGTCTTTATGCTAAGCTAAGCTAATCACAGGCATCAGCAGACGTGGGAGTGGGAGTTTTCTTAAAATGTTGTTGAACTATTAATTTATAAACTACTATTACTGTCATTTTGTGTCTGTGACTTTACCTGCAAAGAGATATGTTTTGCCTGCATCGTCAGTGGTAATGGCGTCCAATTTTACCTCACTGCATTTCCGGACTTTAGAGCCACCTCCATGACCTGCAGAGAAACACAGAAGATTACACTAAATGCTTCAGTCAGAATACACCTGAGTGCATTTTCCACCGTTCTTTCCCCCGATGAACTCACCGTGGTCAGCGCACCTCATGAAGTAGTCGCGGGCGTCTTTTGGGTAGTTGCCGCTCACCTCTCCGGATACTGGGTTGAACCTGGTGAAGTTGTGTCCATGGAAACAGTAGTGGCCCTCCATCCAGCGTAAAGCAGAGGTGCAGACGGGCAGGTGGGCCCAAGTCTTGGTCTTCACTGTCTTTGTGGCAATATCATAAACATGCACGTCATGTCCTGTGGGGAGAAATTAGGTTTTTAGTTAGAGAAAAAGTCTTATCAGTAACCTTCACCATGTGCTCAGTTATTTACAATAATATAATTACATCAGAGTTCATAATTTAACTGATTAATCTGCTTAAGTTCTTAAAAATATAAACATTTCTGCCGATATCTGCACCACTTCCTGTCAGATATACTGTAAACATGCTGTATTACAAAAGTCAGATCATTTAAATGTGACTAATTGGTTTTAATTCCTGGTATTCAGTGCAGTTTATGTTCCAAGCATGAAGAGCAAAAGCTTGCAAACTATATTTTATCTATTTTAAAGCTGCTTCTGACAAACGTTGCTCCTGCAGCAGCTGATTTCCTCCACTAGGGGGAAGCATTCTCTTTATAATACTGAGAAAGGAAACTTTCTCTCTCTGTAGCTCCTTCCATTGTTTGTTTCATTTATTTTAATTGTATGTATTTAATTACAGTCAAGACTTTGTGATATGAATGTTTTTGCATTGAATGCCAACACACCCTTAATGAAGAGAACTGAGTCTTCGGTGCACTCTCCATGGGGACACTCCACCGCAGCGTCCAGGTGAGTGGGGACTCCTGGGAATTCCTCCTGGATCTCCTTCGGGTACCCGTCCTCCAGACTGTGGTTGAAATACCTGAACACCTTGTCGTCCTGGAGATTTAGAAAAGCGACAGCCGAGATCAGGGACAGACACTTCTCTGCCTCTCCATCTGATTTTTATTTATTTTTTTGTTTCTTTGCAGAATCATATCACAAATGAAAACACATCTGAGGTTCGTACCAGGAAGAAATAGATGTGATCGTGCACGTCCTGGTTCGCGGGGTTGTGCATGCGGAAGGCAGCGTCGACATGGCCGATGTGATGGATGTCATCCAGCTCCTTGAAGGACTGGTTGGAGAGCAGAGCTGGACCATGGTAACCCTTCCACATGTGAGCACCTGAGAACACATCAGAGGATTTTTCTTACACTGCAACACATATATATTCAGTTTGGAAAAATATATAAAATAAGACTTAAATAATGATAATGAGAGTCACCTTTGAAGAAGAAGGTTATTCCATTCTCGTCAGGAGTGATGGCGTCAAACTCAATACCTGCACACCGGTCTGGCACAGCAGCATGGGCTTCTCCATCTTTATTCCAGAGTTAGAAATATAGAGATAATATAACTATAATTACCATTAATGTAATATATAATGATGGTAAACATAGAAAACGTAGCCAGAGAATGGCTTGTCTCTATGAGATTGCTTCTGTAATTGATCCTTAGTGTCTTTATACCAGACCAGTGAGGAATGAGGGTTATTATGACTTTAACGTGTTAATTAAAAACCCACCGTGTGCTGCTGCGTCCTGCGTGTGTCTGTGGATGATATAAAAAAAGACTCGTTATATTTGATTCCTAAAAATCCTTAGGTCAAAAAACAGGAGGTCAATCAACGACAGGCCACTGAGGTCACACGGTGACTCAGCTCTCTTCTGTTTGTTCAGTTGATGCAGCAGGTGAACTTTGTGAACAGGTAAACAGAGTTATGAAAAGACTGGTCAGTGACTTGCCCCGTCTCCTCTGCACCCGTTAAACTTAGAGTAAATACAGAATAGTAAGTTTGACCCAGGTGAGTTACTGACCACTCACCTTATGTTTTAATGAAATTTATTACACAAAAATGACCATGCGTCGACTCAACATCTCCCTGTTTTATTATATATATATATATATATATATATCTTTATTTTTCTACCTCCTGCATATATGGATATTTGCTCATATATTGTGATATTACAGGACAGGAAGCTTTAAGATAAACTGATGAATACATGTCACCAGTGCAGCCGATGAGGACGAACCCTCCTGATCTGAACAGCCTATTTTCAGTTTTAATAATTCATTCATACAATACTCACGCAGGCGCTCCATTAGCGAGGGCGAGTGCTGAGCACAGGAACAGAGTTTTGGTGATCAGGTCCATGGTGTGCGGTCCTGATGAAGTCCTCTGATGTGGAGTCTCGCTGTGGAGCAGAGCTGTGAAGTGAAGCTGTGCAGGAGCTGAACCTGCGCTTTTAAACTGAAATGTGTGTGTGGGTGGACATGTTAGGAAACTCTGAGTGTGTCTTGTTTGCGTAGAAGGGTTATTGGAAATTTGGTTGTTGCAAAATGAGGCTTCAGAATCATGCTTTTGGTAATCTGCTTATCTTTTTTTTTAAAAATGTGAACGTTATTTGCAACACAACCTATATTGGTAACTGCCGTCAAGCACAATATCTATCTTTGATTAATCTATTTCACTGCTTGAGGAAATCGTTTACCTTTTTTTTGATGTGGATTTCAAATGAAATTATTGATCTGTTTGGTTAATATTTTACCGCGTCTCAGAGTCTTTAAATCCCCTTCCATGTTTCGTGACACACTTTTCTAGAAATACAGACAGTCGTTCTCGATGCCCAAAAGCTAATGAACAACTACTGTGGTTGTGTAGTAATATGTGCTTAGGCAAAATCCCAAGGAACAACAAAATCATGCAAAACTAAGATTTGAATCAAAGTTTAATTCCTTTTTACTCGGAGAAACTGGCAGTACAAAAGTCTTTAAGCCCCTTAAGTCGACTAAACAGTTTGATTTGCTGGTTACATTGAGAGTTCTCAAATTTATCTTGATTATTAATTAATTAGATTCACAAAATTTCTAAATATGAATGAGGTACACAGAAATACATTAGAAACACTCAAGGTCAATTTAAAAGCATGCAATAGTGTTTCTACCACTTGTATCTTTTCTTAATAGATGGAGTGAAAATAATTTGTACTAATCTTTCAGTCTACTAACACTTGCCTTGAATTTACTGATTATATATATCATAATGCATTATCACCATTTTGAAAACTCATTTAACATCATCTTATCAAATTAAAACACGTAAGAGGTAGAGGCTTTGAATTATAGTCAAAGAAACCCACTTTATATATTTCCAAGGATATTGCCTGCTATTACAAATATAATTCTCTCAGTTTATCACAGAGCTCCATACATATTTGTTTCTGTCTCCGTCTTCTGCATCCTCTGTAGTTCACTTGTAGCGGTAGATCTTGACGCAATGGTTCATACTGTCCGACACAACCACTTGGCCATCAGGGAGCAGAGCCAGGCCCCTCGGGCTACTCAGGTTATCGGTCACCAGAGGCCAGCCGACACCCTTGGACGGGTAGAAGAGAACACGGTGCTGCTGCTTGCCCCAGTCCGCCACCAAGACGTCCCCATCTCTGTCGATACAGAGGCCCCAAGGGCAGGTCAGGACCGGCCCCAAACCGGAGCAAACCCCCAGGATTCGGACGGTGTTCCAGCCGGGCTCCAGGACTCGAATGCACGGGACACGTCCAGTCTCGTTGCCTCGTTCTGATACTGCCATGAGCCCGGTGGTGAGGCAGGCTGCCACCAGGTAGGGTCTGTGATACCCACTCACCACTGTGCGCTCCAACCTGGCTCCAGTCTTGGGGTCCAGTTTTAGGGCAGTTAAAGTCCCGCGCTTTATGTCGGCGACCAAGAACTCATCTCGACGGGTGACGGTCACCCCTCTGGGAGCGTCCAGCTCTTCGTTGGTGGAACCAATCGTTGTGCCTCCAAATGTTTGCAGGAGGCGTCCGTGACGGCTGAACACCAACACGGCGCGTTCGGCGGCACAGGTCAGGGCGATGAGGCCCTTTGAGTTCACTGCCACGTCAAAGTAGTTGCAGATACGGGAAGATCTTTCTGATCCTGAAGGAGACACCTGCTGTACGACATTCTTTTGGAGATCAGTCACCTGAATGCGGGCGTTTCCACAATCCACCACAAATAGCTGCCCTTTGACAGTTGCGTGGACGCCACTTGGCAGGTTGAAGTCAGTGCGGCCTGATCCTTGTTTTCCAAACTGTTTGACCAGGTAAGCTGAGTCCAGCACAGTCGAACCACCTTCTTCCTCCAGTTCCCTCAGAGTTGGTACAACTATCTCTTTGTCCTTGTTGAATGGATGTGATTCCTTACCTTGATGTAACTTGTCACCTTCGATGGCTGACATGGACAGACATCTGCTCACACGGTTTAAAGCTGAACCTTGTGTAACACGAGCCTGGGTTCTCGACTGTCGTTCCTCAGAGCCCATGGTGTTCCTGTCGGATGCTTGGCTTTGTTCAAGAGATGAAGGTTCGGAGGCAAGTCGCATTTTGTTCACCTTTCTGATTCCTCTGCGCTCACTCTTGTCACCATTAATTAAAGGGTGTAGTTTACCGGACAGATCAGCTGTGGACACTGAGCGGCAGTGCTCTCGCTTAAGAGATCCATTAACAGGTGTATTCACAGTATAGGTGTAACAGGAATCCTCACTGTCCGCTGGCGATGGAGGGCTTCCACTATACGCTGCTGGTTCATTTGAGTTCTTCTTGGATAGGGCTTGTTGGGAGCGAGCACGATGTCCAGTGGAGAGATCTACAAGACTGCGCCTCGAGAGGGAACCTTTTCTCCTGGTCTTCGGAGATATTGCGGCATCACAGCGTTTTTCGTCAGTTTCTTCGGGGGGGCAGGACGGTTCTCCACGTGAGACCAAGACGAGGGCCTTTGGTTTCCTCTTACCCTTCAGTGTGGGGCGCCTCCGTGGTCCATTTTGTCTGCCGTCGGATTCGTCACCTTCAGATTCTCCTTGACTGGAGACTGGTGGGATGGCAAGGAAAAGGTCTTGCCCCAGTGCGTCTGAACACACAGACTCCAGTTCTTCATCTTGAGACGACTCAGACGCACCACGGTGTCTTTGTATGGGGGATTTCACGGTGGGTGATTTGAGCTCGTCCTCGTTCTCTGTAGAGCTTGATAGACGCAGTTTCCGGACAACGCGCATGTTTGTCTTATTGGCCTCATCGGGACTGTACCTTTGTCCGGCTCTGTTTGCTTGCGGTTCCTTCCGAATTTCAAGCGGGGTAATGTTCGAGAAGGTCGTATCCCCTGAGTGCAAGGCACACTTTTGTCCTTGGACACCGCAGACACCAATGGGGTAGGTCATACCTTGCTCACGAACATCAACTTCCCCCAAGCTTAAGGTCTTGGATTCGGGGCTTGGTAAGAAACTGACTCTTTTCATTGTTAGAGAGATTTCCCAAGGTTGGGTGACCTCTGCCACCCCTCTTTGGAGCTGATTTTTGTTGGATCCACCGGCGGTACTGCCCCATCTCTGTATCTGCTCCTTCAGTTGCCCCATTTTTCTAAGTTGCTGGTCAACAAGTGACTGCACAACCCGCACCGCTGCAGCATTCTCCCTCTTCACCTGACTGAGGTGCCCCTGGGCATCTCTGTGGTCCCGCTCAATCTTCTCAAGAAGGCGCCGCTCCTCTCTCTGAGCTTCAATCACCGCATTGTCCAACTCACGGTTCACCTCCTCCACCTCGGCCTGCTGTCGCTCTCGGAGACTCTGCAGCTCCCGTTCTCCTTGCTCCAGGTTGGAAAGGGCCTGAGTAACCCAGGGGGGCGGAGAGGTCAGAGATATGGGTGCAAAGACGGACTGCAGTGGGGTGACCGGCGGAGGAGCTGGGGAGGTCACGTCCCTCTGTTTTGGAGCGCTGTGTGTCAGCAGGGCTGAGAACCCAAGGAGGGCTCTCCTCTCTGAATGAGACCGCATTAACATCGTGGATAGTAGATTTGAACAGTCCTCTTGAGAAATGGGGCTCTACCACTTTTTGAGTGTGTTTCTGTAAAGACAGAGAAAAGGCAAAACAAAACCCCTGTTAATGTGGCGTTAAAAACACCCAAGAAAAAGACCTGTATCTTTTACAACAAAGTATTTAAAGGTAGCACAACATGTACTTAGATGCAACTAAAGGGTTTCAACACGACGCTGCCCTACATCTACAAAGGCAGAATAAAATTGAAAAGAAGCTCAGGATTGTTTGCGATAAGAAAATCTTGGTCTCTTCAATCCCTCAAGAAATCTTTCTGACCTACCTGTCGACCCAGTGAGGACTTGTGTACATTTCTGTCACTGTTTTTTAAAAAACTGGGACACAGGTTCCCTTTCATTGCAACTCTATCCATCCCCCGCAATATTCAGTTTCTCACGAGACTCTAAAGTGCTCTCAGATAACCGCTGTGCTGTTTCCCTGAGGTCAGCGTTGTATTCAGACTTTAACGCCTGTCGTCAGCCACTGATCGCTAGAACAATAAATGTCCTAAATTGGATGTCAATCAGCAGTTTGTTGAGTTACTGCTGTGCTTTTTGATCTAAATCATATTAATTCATCAGTATTTATAACTTTTTTTTAATGAGATTTAAAAGTCACGTCTCTTAACGTCACTCATCGTGAAACCCCAATAGATCAGATAGTTGCTTCCTGAATGCAGCACAGACCCCCATTGTCACGTTTGGTGGAGAGAGCAGCTCTTATCTGCTCAAGGCATTGAAACTGAGCTCCGTCTTTCACCAGCAAACCGAGGTATGTGAGCGGCTGCCAGGGGAGGCGTCACTCCTGTCTTTTTTTTATTGAGTCTTTAAAGTGGATCATATGATGCATTGGCAGTTGTGGGTACCGGCGTGTATATTGTATGTTAATGGTGTAGACCTAGTTAGAGAGCATTTTACACCGCCCTCCCCCCCAGAGCAAAACAACAAGGCTTTTGCAAGGATGAAAGGGTGAGGTGTCAGTTTACCTGTGCGCGCTCACAATAAAGTCCCTCTGGAAACATGTGACCTCAGAGTGTCAAAGGATAAAATCTGTTTCCCATGTTTAAAAAGATGTTAAAGATAAAATCAGTGGGTGACAGTTGGTGAAGAACTTAAAGGAGAAATTAGAAGTGGGTTGATCATGGGAAATGTCAATGTCAAAACTTCATTTTATGCACGGATGGGTCAACAGGTAAAGAGACATCAGCCTGTTGGTCAGAAGTAGGGGAAATTGTAAACGGTGTCACAAACAAATCCGTGTCACTCTCCTGGAGTGAGGCCACTGCGTCGTCTTATGTTACCTGACTTTAATGTTGAATGAGAGGCACTAGTTGCTAAGTTACCCAGCGACCTTTGCCAAG